GCAAAAAATTATTTAAAAGAGCTTGGATACACATATGAAAGGGTGAAAAAAGGTGCTTATGTAGACGGACACGAGAGAGAAGATGTGGTAGCCTATCGGAGTATATTTTTGAAACGAATGAGTGAATTTGAGCATAGAATGCCTATATTTTCAGGTGATAATATGGAAGTAGAGACTTGGCCAGACAGCAATATAAAACTACTTATTCTTGTTACACATGATGAATGCATTTTTTCAGCTTATGATGGAAGTCGGAGTCTTTGGATTCCTTATGGTGAACAACCTTTACGAAAAAAGGGGGAGGGTCGTTCAATTCATGTTAGCGAGTTCTTAACTGATATTTGTGGTCGACTTGTGCTTCCTGATGAAATGCAACCGTCAGATAAGTTTCCTAGAGAAGCTTGTGTTATTACATACCCTGGCAAAAATAACGATGGATGGTGGAAGGCTGAGGATTTGATTAATCAAGTAACTAACCATGCCATTCCCATATTTGAAGCACGCTTTCCAGGTAGTGTTACAAGTTGGCAAATTTTTATTTTTTTAGTCAACAATTAGTTGGCAACTAATCGATTGAATTTTTTAGATACTAACTAATCGATTAATCGATTAGTTAGTATCTAAAAAATTCAATCGATTAGTTGTTAACTAATCAACTAATCATTTTTTCGACTTCCAATTTGTAACACTAATTTTCAGGCTGCCAAGCCTTGTTTGCATTTGACAACGCAACAAGTCATTCTGCTTTTTCACGTGATGCACTTATTGCTAACCATATGAACCTTGGCCCTGCTGGAAAACAAGAGAAATTACGCAGCACATCATACTTTCGTAAGGGAAGAAAATATGACCAAGATATGGTCTTTCCATCAGACTATCATATCCCTGAATTACGTGGTGAAGCTAAAGGATTAAAAGAAGTTCTAAAGGAGAGAGGGTTGTGGCCAGAAGAAGGATTAAGGTTAAAAGAAGCACGAGAATTAATAAGTCAACAACCAGACTTTCTAGCCCAAAAAGGATAGTTGGAAGAAATCATCGTTGCGGCTGGGCATCAAATTATTTTCTATCCCAAATTCCACTGCGAACTAAATTACATTGAGACCTTTTGGGGTGCGGCAAAAAAATATAGCCGATCACATTGCGATTATTCATGGAAAGGACTGCAAAAAACTGTCCCATTAGCTCTTAATTCTGTTCCACTCCCAACTATTCGTCGATATGCAAGAAAAGCATTTCGCTATATGGACGCATATCGAAAAGGCTTAAATGGTAAAGCAGCTGAATTTGCTGTTAAAAAATACCGTTCGCACTGCCGAATTCCTGATTCAGTTTTAAATTCAATTGATTCTGATTAGTTATTTTTTTTTTCTGCAATAACATTATCCATCTTTTCAAATATCTTTTTTTTTTGATTTTTTGAAAGATAGTTTTATTCAATCCTGGCATGGTTCTCTTGCATTATAGGTGGCACCTATTCCAAATCAATTAATTAAATATATTATATTAATTAATGGTATCACCCATAGTGCAAGAGACCCTAACGCATATTTGCTTAATAAATTTTAAAGCGTTCCAGAATAAAGTAAAAGTTTCATACGTGCTTATAATTGTTACGAAACCTTAAAAGTTAACGATGCTCAAATCTTGCTTATTTAAATATTTAAGAATCAGTTTCACAAAGCTAGCGCTGCATCAATTACACATGATCGGTGCGATAATAAATTTTTTGTCTTTGTACGTACGTACGTACATACGTAAAATGAAAGTGCGATTCAAATAAATAGCCCAGGCAATTGATTTGCATTTGTCAATTTATAAAAGCCTGCTTGGGCTTGTTTTAGTAAGACGGCCAATTTAGTACGTATATGTAAGGCGGCCAATTTAGTATATGTAAAGCGGCCAATTTAGTATATGTAAAGCGGCCAATTTTTCTATTTTATTAATATATGTAGGGCGGCCAAATTTCTTGTTTAATTATAAAATTGTTCTAATTTTTATCTTCTACTATTTTTTAAAAAATAATTTTACAAGAATTCTAGGAACATGAAGTTGTTTAATTTAACTAATATTATTATCCTGAGATGAGATTTGGTGTTTATAGATTTTTTTAAAGAAGGATTAGCAATTTAAATTTTATCCAATTTATTGGTCGGGACTAGGTTGTCTGTGCTGTA